GAACAAAGGGAAAATGAGAGCGCTTGGCCAAATGAAAACCGTTACGTATTGTTTTTCATCCTTTTTACGGTCTAAAAGGAAATTTGGTTCGAGGCGAATCACCGGCGGACAAACGCCGGAAACACGAGACTATGATAAATAAAGTAACTTTTTGTCTTAACTTTTATATCACGGCGACTCTCGATCGCGATGTAATTTACAATTTCTTGCGATTTTTAATTTTACAGCCCGGAATTTTATACATTTTGCTCCCCTTTCTTTATGGTTTAAATGGCCGATTGCGCGGTCAGACAAGACGTAACGTTTAAATTCCGCCTACTGCTCTCTTTTACAGTCCAGATCTGTTGCCATTCCGTTGAATGGCAGTAAGTTTGCCACGAAATATACATTAGATGTCCTTCTATTTTTTATAACGTAATGTCTTCCGTCACGCGGACGACACGGGCAAGAAGTTTCGGGGCGGTCGTGCAGGATGTTTCGGGGGACTAAGAGTGTTTTATTCTCACGGGGTTACTTTTGTCAAACGCCATAACCGCTTACTCCCCTTCGTGCTTTTCGGCCGCGTTGGAGCGTTCAAGGGCAAAATATCAGGCAAGGGTGAATAATACATGGCAACCCGAGGAAAAATAACCTCCACAGCCGCTATTCGCGCAGTTATTGTAAAGTGCAAAGTTTGAATGGATCGCGAAAATATCAAACGGACATGTACGCCTCGCGTACTCGCCGTTCATGCATTTTTTTCTCCCCTCGAAATACCTCGCTTTCGAATCTTAAATTTTCAACGGCGATTCAAACGTCGATCTTCCCCATCGAGCTACGGAAAAATGTAAATTTATCACGCGCGCTTCATTTATCCGGCTTGAAATAACTCGCGCGATACACTTCGCATTGCCGCGACGTAAAAAGACACTCGACACTTCCGGCCGTTATTGCGCGCGCTGATGTAACGTTGGTGTTTCCGTCGGTGGCCTAAACGAAACGCTCGCGACGCTCGTCGGGAACGTGAAAAAGGCGGGATTGCGAGTCGGAAAGGCGAGATTCTTTGGCGTCGCCTTCCCCGTCACGCTCTCGAAATTCCCTTTAATTCGGCCGGCCGAGTCGGAGTCGAGCGCGGACCTACTCGAGAAAGTGCAGGGGAACGCGGGAGAGCGAAGGGAGAAACGGCCGGCGGCACTTCGCCGCGCGAAAGTGAAATATGCACGTTAGACTAGCGGCGACATTGCTACATGAACCGCCCAGCATCAGCGGCAGCGGCAAGCTTTCGCAGCTTGTACGCCGCAAGCCGCGCGCGAGTGCATACACACGCTGCATGCACCGCGGCGCGTACGCGAGAAAGCACTGCGGGCTCGGTGATGCATTGCCTCGGGAGATTAATGCATCGCGCCGCACAGTTTGTTAGAGTGAATAACGACCGGCTGCAATAATGATATCGCCATTAACCTGTCCACGAAAGTCTCTTGATTCCTCAAGAGCGCTCGCGCGGCCCCCGCCCCCCCGATCGCTCGGATCATAGGGGGTGATTAATTTGAGGTATCGACACCCGGGACGCGTATTTCCTCCCCACGAAATTGTCCCGGGATAAGCTCGACCGCGGGCCTCGAGAGCGCCCGGTTATTTTTATCCCCTTCGTCGTCGTGAGGATCCTTCAGCTATCTTCTTTACCGACACAGTCAAACATATCTTTTTTATTAGACTTCTGAACTGAGTGTTTTAAGTATGAAAATGTTCTGCTATGCAGTCCACAATTTATCTCGGTATTATTTTGCGCATAAAAGCGCTGATAAAAAGAATTACAAGCGTAAAAACTATATTTGACTGTGTCGGTAAAAAAGATGGCTGAGGGATCCTCTCAAAGGGATCCTAAAGCCGTCAGTTTTATCGACATACTTCGTTAGAAGTAATCTTTTAAGTGACTTTATAGAAATGCAAAACTCTTTTACGGAATTAAAGTATGCAGCAAAATCTAGACTATGCTAGTGACGACAATATTTGCTTGATACAAGAATTCTACAAGAAATATATACAAAGTAAAAGCAGCATACTCTAGCTAGGGACAACATACAAGAACAATATCGTGCAATTCCGTCTCCTATCTTATCGACACTGATCGAGTTCGCCAGCGGCTTTAGGATTCCCTTAAAAAGAGACACGTAATCCGGAAAGAAAGAAGGAGAGGGAGATAGATGGACTCTTATAATGGGTCGGGAATAACGCGAAGCGCAATCTTGAAATTGTAATACATCTGACTTAACGCTTTCTCTCGGGAATTTCTCATCGCACGTAGCGGGACGCGAGCTGAAAGAAAATTAATTCGAAAGGTCAAAAGTGCACGTCAATCCCCGCGAAATGGGCGTCGGGTATAGAAACAACGTGATTTATTAACTTAACTCGACTTCATTACTCGTCTCTCATTACTGTTTTGAATAAATCATCTCTCGCCGCGCCGACTTTGCGCGAAATATTGTCTTCCGTAACAACGGTCCTATTTTTAGGGAAGGCGCATTAATTTACACCTCGTCGTCTTCCAGCGCGACGCGTAAATTTATCTCAACAGCGCTCGCGCGAGTCGAGAATCCGTCGCGCAAAGTAAGAGCTGAGCGCAAGTCCGCTCGTTATCGTCCCTTTTCCCGATCGTCTCGATCCTCGTTCGGTCTCTAAAAGCCGGTGAATTATCACTGAAAACGGTGAAGAATCACCGACTTACAATTGTAAGTACAATACTTAACTGCAAGTCAGTGACCATTGACTGTTTTCGGACCCAGAGGTCATTCGATTCTCTGTCTCTCCTTAGATAATAATACAGAAAAAGATACAGAGTCGACTGACTTCCTGGTTAATAGTTAACCAGAAAACGAAAACTCGTGCCTCGGTGATAATCCACCGATTGACTTCTACACCCAGAAAAAAGGATCTATTTAGGTTAAACAAATGAGACACGTTGAAATCGTGTTTCTTTGAATCTACCAAATTTTTATTCATCCATGCTGGAAACATTTGCCAGACTCGAACAAATAGATATGAATTCTCTCAGAAGGTCCAGTCTCAATCAAATAAAATTCGAAAAAAAAAACGAAATCATTCCTTTGAAATTAAATAAAAGTCTAGTGAGGTCAAAATTCATCGCGAGCGTAGGTATTATAATTACCTATCCATAACGACACTAAATGCACCACTCCAGCACGATCCGCCGCTTACGCGCGGAGCGGAAGCGCAGAAGGGGAGAAGAAAGAAACGCGCGCGCGTGCCATGGCACGCGGGGGCCGCCTCGTTTGCCCCGCGATTTCTCCCGGCCGTCGCTCGGCCACCGGGGTGCACTAACACGCTAATCAAGTATTTACCATTCTATTACTACGTACCGCTTCTCGCCGCCCTTATCGCCATCTCTCCCCCACGTTCTCGGCCGCCATCGCGTTACCACGTCTCGCCGGAGGTGGCTCGAAGGTGAATCGCTCCTCGCGGGCGTGCCCGAGAAGCGATATGGATTTTCGCGTCGCCGCGGATGCTGCACGGGATTGTTTCGCGTCGCGACACTGGCCCGAGTTTTCAATCGCGGTCAAAAGATCCGGTCCTCGACGCGGCATTCTTGACCCGCGAGCCCCTCGAAGCCGTTGTCTCGCTTAGACGACTCGCGTTAACAATTTGTATTATGTAAGTTGCTTTCTTTTTTTCCCCGTATTTAGATACTCCGCTGCGCGAGACAGGATCGCGAAATTATCTTGCCATTTCTTTCCGACATTCCGAATCGCTCGTTGAATACGTAAGGACGCGAGCTAATGAAATTTCGCGTTAGTTACTTGGAAGTTACTTCGCGCTGGACTGTCTGCTTAAAACTACTCGGAACATTCCTTAACTACCAGCCGGAGTTGCAAAGTTACGGGCGATTCCGCGTCTCCCGCGGTGTATGTCACCAGCGCGCGGCGCGGCGGATAAATATTTCATGTCGAATGCACAGTCGTGCGTAATTCCCCTCGCGATGCGAATGGACGTATTTTTCGCGAAACGCGCGTACGCACGGCATTTATCGGGAGCGAGAGGGAGACGTTTCGCGGCCGACTCTCCCCCGACGACGGCCTCATCTCTCAGACGTCGAGGCGTACGTCGGGGGGGGAGGAAAAAGGATCCGTATTTCCGCCCGGCGCGCTTTTCATCAGTTTCCGTTCGGCATTGACGGATCATAACCGCGCACGTCGACGGATAACCCGAATATCGGCGCTGATGCCGACAGTGCAATTTTAATCCGCGCAATCCGCCGCCGGACGTATTATCGGGGAGCGTCCGCGAGATTCAGCGCCGGCAAGGGCTCTCGGCCGATCTCCGCATATTATTAGGCGGGCTATCGACAGTTACGTCGATACGCCGCTAAGATTCTCCGGCTAACTCCCGCACGATCGGCCACTCTTCGAAGCGAGCCACAACCATAGAGATATAATGTATAGACCGCGCATTCTGGCTGCAGAAGTGTTACAGACTTTAGAAAGAGACAACATACTTTGAACGGTAGCCCTCTCTCTGTCTATCGATATCTGGAGTGGGGCAAAAATTCAATGTGGCTACTGTGCTTGAAGGCCCAAACACAATGCCAGGCAACAGGAACAGGGAATAGAATTTCTGACGCGTTGGATCGGTCGGAAGAAAATTTCCGACGAATGCAACGCGTTAAAAATTCTATTCCCTATTCCTATTGCCCGTTGCCTGGCATTGTGTGATAGGCTTGACAGAGTGGACCACAGACATAATACATCTAGACGGTCGCACCTAATGCAACAGGCACAGTAGCAAAATATTTAGCTATCACAACTAAATGTTAGCCGTCCCTATTTTACAACTGGACTTTATAGTTGCCATACGCAGCTTTTAGCTACACTTTTCCTTCCGCGCGCGAACGTACAAATTTGCACTTTCCGAGTAATGGTCTCTTCTTTGCCCCTAACCGCGTGCCAAGGCGACGCACGTAGAGAAGCAAAGAATGATCTGAAGAAGGAAAAGAACGATCGAATTACCTTTACATGCGAATCTCCAGAGTTAATCGAATCGCGCATTCACAAGCGGGCCGCGACGTCGGAACGAGATTACGCGGGTAAAAAATATTTATTGGAGTCTGCTGGGGAAAATCGATTTATCGTATGAATGCGCTCGTATTTCGAGTCTCAGTTCTTATGCAGCGAATCGCCGATACCACCGACGCGTGCACGGTACACGCGTGTCTCGCGGCGCGTCAATCGCGAGGCTCAATTTTTTTGCACGCCGCGAGGTTCGGGGCATTTAGCGATGGCCCGTCAGAAATGGATGGGTACCGAACTGACGAGGCTTTATTCCATCTTCGTTCCGACGGCGCGTACCCGTCAATTGGACGATATCGCGCGTAAAAGCGGTTGTCCGATCGCGGCGCGAGAGCCGGTGCATGCGCGAGCACGCCTTGGGCTGTGTATCGCGCTTCCCGATGTTGCGCTTTTTGTAAACTAAATAAATTCGCGGCGGCGCGATTACTTCCCGGAGAACACGGCCACCGTGGCTGCGCGCGCGTAGACAGCTGGGTTTTGCGCGATTCTTTTCGACTGTGACGAGAAGAGTAAGTTAGGATCGGATCGGATGACGATACAAGTTTTACGTTTTACCCTTTCTCTGTTGATGTATTACAATGGCAAATGTATGGCAAACGCACTCGTAGAATATTCTATATTCTACAAGTACGATACATAAATCTGTTCTATTCGACATGATTTGCCATAGAATATTCGACATGTAAAATACTCGACTAATATGTAGAATGGCCTGACAATGAGTTGCGATAAGCGAATAAAGCAAATGCTAGCGAAGGAGACAAACAGGCCTTCCATGTAGTATGCATTTTAATAGTAGAATGTACGGTAAAATTTCAAAAAGTTCTCATACAGTTCTTCAAAATGTCATCTTGTCCCACGATTACATGATTTTCAGGGCAAATTTTGAGAGAAAAATCTCTGCGTGTAGAATTGTTACGTACGGTGTCAATATAAACTGCACGGAGAGAATTTTCTCTTAAAATTTGTCCTGAAAATTATGTAATCATGGGACAACGTGGAATTTCGAAGAATTTTATGTAGGGGTTTCTCTGAGATTTGCCGTTACTTATTGTAAGATAATTGGCAGGATTTATTAAGGCCTGACGATCCGTGATTCGTGCTGTACACGAGTGTCTTTTCGAGTGACCGACACACGATATATCCGCCGTTACATTTTGATTTGTCAGCTTATGCGAAAATTCTAGAAGATCGTTACGTACCCGTTACATCGCTTCTAAACAAGACAAATAAGAGAAGCGACGAGTCAGGCAAATAATAGATAATAATACGTATAACTGTCAAACGGTTTCCTAAATTTATGAGAGTTGGTAGAAGTTTTACCATACATTTTACTTTTAAACTGTATACTAATTGCAAGTATAATTACTAGTAAAATATACCATATGATACAATTTCAAGAAATCTCTCCTACAGGTCGTCAAATGCCATGTTGTCCCACGATTACATGATTTTCAGGGCAAATTTTGAGAGAAAATTGTCTGCGTGTAGAATTGAATATGAACTTCACGGAGAGAATTTTTTCTTAAAATTGTGTAATCATGGGACAGCGTGGAACTTTGAAGAATTTTATGAGTTTTGGGAGTTTGTTGAAATTTTACCATACATTTTACTTTTAAAATGTATACTAATTGTAAGTATAATTACTAGAGAATGAAATGTGTGATTAAATTAAAAAAAATGTCATACAGTTCTTCAAAATGCCATGTTGTCCCACGATTACATGATTTTCAGGGTAAATTTTGCGAGAAAATTCTCTACACGTGCACAGCGGGCGCGCGTTTGGCCCATCGCAGCGCTCGGTTCGTTCTACATGTCGACGATCGTACCCGATCTCGCGGAAAACTCGGCGAGGGTCGTACAAATGCGTCTTCGGGTCCGGCTCCGCGATTAATGACACGATTTCGGGACCGCGTAGGTCTCTCAGGTGGGGTTGTTCTCCAATTACGCGTTGTGCATGTCACGCGCTATTATCCCGAAAGTGACCGTTATAAATCGAATACACGCTGGACATGGCAGCACGATAGCCATATCGGGGCCGGAAAAATAACGATCGTTTAGACGTAACGAGCTACGCGTGCGATCGTGCGCCACGAGCAAAGGCCGCCCACCCTAATATGCCGAAACCCCCGAAATCTCGAAAACGCGGCGCGAGATAAAAAATCACCAAGTCGTCGATAACGTTTTCTACGGCATAAATCGTTTCGAGCGAAACGAGCGACGTGTTCGACGAGTCCGGTAGAGAAAATAAATGGACTCTTCACGCACAGGTAAATGCCGGGGAGAGACTCCGTGAAATTTATCTTTCCTCTCCTCTTCCTCCTCCTCCTCCTCCTCCTCCTCCTTCGTACAACAATCGTTGCACGCATACGCACCCGCGACGTTCGCATTTTGCCGTCGATCGACACGTTAGTGTCCGAAACTACTGGCGAGAGCCGATTTTAAAATTCCACGGCAAACGGCGCGGATACATTGCACTTTCGCGCGACGTCACGGGCGCATACTTTGCAGTTACAACAATCCGTAAAATCGCCAGCTCGCTGAATTTTACATTCCGCGCTCGCGTAAATGGCGATGTGAGTCACGCGTCGCGCCTTTGTAACGCCACCGCCGCACAGCGGCGCGATCAAATATGCACGCCTGCATGCATGCAATCGGGTACATACAAGCGCTTACCGCGTTATCTTCCGCGGGGGTCACCTCTTCCTCTCGCGAGCCCGGGGTGATTCACCGCGCGCGCGAATAACTCCGATTGCTAGTCTCTCACTTTTTTTTTCGCGTTTCCGAAAATGGAACTCGTCAGCGTTTTCTGTATGCACCTTTTACGAAAGATTCTACCAGCCACGGTGGCAAAAAAAAATCGCCACTTCCGTTACCGCGCGGCCCACGTATTCCATCTGCAAAATGGTGCGCCCGAAGACAGCTTTCGCAAAGCTTAAAAGTATTAAAAAAACATTGCAATACATTAGAGCGACTTACGGCTCGCGTAGCACAGCGCAGTAAAGTCGTAGCTTTGTTTAAAAAAAAAAGGAACACAAAGGTTTCTATTAATTTATATTATTAAAGTTCATTCACTTTGTATTAATAAAACTCCTTTATATCAACATATTTGCAGCCGCCAGCGGAATTTTACATAATTTTAAAATCTGTAGCCGGTTGCCGCCGGCGTAATTTCACGTTATTCCGTATTTATAGGAAGGCAGATGATTTTATGGCCTGTATTTGCAAGTGGTTACAAGTTTAATATTATAAAGCAACTTGTTTTAATTTTGTTCTCATTTTAATGCCAAAATCCCGCGGCAACCAGATATAGATTTTTCTATTATAAATTGCACGCGAAAATTAAGGGGATGCTGGAGTGATTCTGCACCTTTGGCACCTCTTGCTCCTAGAACTGGCAATTCGTGAAAACATTTGTCTAATATACAAATTATGTGGCTCTTGTGTACAGACCGACAGTGTCCCACTATTCAGATTAAGTGAACGAACAGAATGGTATCATTTGAAATTCAGTTTAGGCGCTTAACAAGAAGTCTATTCACTCGAATAAGTTTTTTTGTTAGGCTTCTAAACTTAATTTCAATGATACCATGCTGTTCTTTCAATTAATTTGAATACTGGGGCACTGTCGGTTCGTACACAAAAGCCACATAATTTGTATGGTACACAAATGTTTTCACGAATTGCCAGTTCTAGGAGCTAAAGGTGGCAAAAGTGCAGAATCACTCCAGCATCCTCTTAAGGATAGGATAGACTTATTATTGCAGGACAATTTGTAATTTCCGTCTAACATTTAACGAAGCCTCGTAATGGTCTGAAAATTGACTCTCGGTCGATCCCCCTTTCTTGCCTACGTTATCGCGATCGGTCGATCCTCCGGATCGTCCCCGCGAGCCGGGGGACGCGCGCGCTCGCGGGGGATGAATAAATTACCGGTAACACGTGAATACTCGGCGACGCGGGGGCCGCCGGCTGAGTCGTGCGAAATCCTCATGCATAATTTTCCGCCATTCTATTCTGGACGCGCGTTTACACGCGCGGACGTGCACCCGGGTGAGGAAGAGGTTGCGCGCATTCCCGGGCGTACATGCACGATACACGCCGTCCGCGTGGGCTGAAAACGCGCGTTGACCCGCGCGTGCATCCGCGCGCACGCTCTCGCGTGCGTCGTTCAATGCAAATTTCCCGGCGCAAAACCCGGTCAACCGCGGCCGCGTTGTATGCAAACCTGGGGCTCCGTCGTACCGACGTGAGCCAGCCGCCGTGCATGGTCCGCGGATGCTGCTATTGCCGATGCTACCGCCGCTGCTGCTGCCGCCGCAGATACGATCGATTCTTCCGTGCGATTGTACTATCGAGGAACGTGTTTGCGCAGAGACAAAGGCACAATCTACCGGATGCTCAAGTTCCGAGCACCGAAATCGAAAAGTTGTAGGCATTATCGGGAAGAAGGAAGGGCGGAGGAGAGGGAGAGGAATTTCGTTTCGGTATAATCCTCATCTTGCGTCATTTCAAGCTCGAATGCTTTTAGGGATTTAATCCCTCGGTTATGTCAGCACTTTAATTCGGATCTAAGAAATGTTATCTCCCGAATAGCTGATTACACAATACACCGAATATTAATCTGTATATCTGGCGAACTCGACGTTGTCTTATCGCGAAACACAATCTCGTTGTCTATGTATTACGTTAAAGCTAACGTTCGGGATCTTTTTGCGTTGACTCCTTGCAGCTTTAAAAATTATCTTATCGCAATTCGCAATGTCGTCATTTATATTACGTTAAAGCTAGCGTTCGGGACCTTTGCGTCGTCTCTTTGGCGTTTGGAGAATTTTATTACATCGAGACGTTCCGAGACGAGAGCGAAACCGCTGAGGACATTGTGCTGTACAGATTTGCGGCATTACTGGGCATTAGTTTGGGCAATTACATAGATAAAACAATATATAGAGAAGATAAAATAGTAAATGAGACCAAATATTATAATTAGCCTAACCATTTTTTCTATCAGTGTAACGACGCTCTCGCCTTGTCGCGTCCCTGTATGTACACGACGCCACGTTGGAAACTGATTAACCGGTCGGATATTATTCAAGTGTTCTCCATCTTGATTACACGGGCTATTGACGAAGAGCGGACACATTTCCGACGGATGTCCCGCCTGAGATCAAAGTTAATTCAGGTTGTCATGGCAACGTCTGATTTCGAGTATCGCGGATTATCGGGGGCTATCAATAAAATCTTGATCGTGCCGAGTGTGCGCGATTATTCGCGACCGCGGCCCTTCCGGAGCGGCATATTCGGGCCGTTTTGTTGACGGGGAGAGCCCATATGTACGGCGCGTACATTACCACGGCGCACGGATAATTAATTAACATTATCGGGAATGTGCGTTAAATTAATTACGAACAGTCAATATTTGGGAGTATTAATTGCATTGTGTGATTCTTTCGTATCGCCGATAACGATGGGCGATCGATGATCAGATCGAAAATA